CTCACCATCACCTTCTCAAGGGCGACTAGGGATAGGGAACAAATGCTGGCCCTATCCAGTAATGCCATGTGCCATGATTAAATGGAAAGAACTCTAAGGGGAGGAGAAAGTCACAGCTTAACTCCCAAATGCTGGGTTGCATACCAGTGCTATTGAGGACTATTGCAATTTCAATAAGCATTTCATTTTAATTTTAAAAAATAAATCAAAGCTTTATTTATCTTAATATTAAACATCTACACCTTCTTCAACAGAATTTTCTTGAGTAATATTCCAGACAAATATTTCTGACATTTCTAGTATGCCATGTTAAGCTAATATATTAGTTTCTTAGTTTTCTCATTTTTACGGTAAGTTAATAATTGGTGCACATTGTCCTTAAAAAGCAACTTAGTGTCTAAATACTTCCTAGATTTTCCTTCAATCTCACACATGAACAAATGAATAAGAAGATCTGCCATGAACATCCCCACAGTTGAGTCAGACTTTTGCACAGTAAGATATGCACCCTTGCTGAAGCAGGATTTTATGTAAATCAGGATACATGTACTTTTGTTAAAAAATAAGTAAATTAAAACAATAATAACAATATGAATTTCTAATTATTTTCAGCAATTTATTTCCAGTCCTTCAAACAAATGTAAGTGGAATTATACAAATATCAAGAGCATTGAATTTGTGAATTGCAGCAAGCAGTTACCATACCACTATGTTAATTTCTTGATTCTAAATATTTGTCTTAAATGTTATACATATTCACTGAGGGAGTCTATAATTTTAATGCAGAATATCATATGAAGAGTGACAGCTATGATATAAATCATTGGTGACAGACACTGATGATAAAGAAAGGAATGGGTTCAAAAGCCTCTGAAGGCATTGGAAAAAAAGGCAAAATGAAAATGATTGGAGAAAATAAAAAGCGATGTAGGTGATGGAAAAGTGAGATTTGAGATCAACCAACAGAAAGAATGGGGATAGGTAGGTTTGGCATTAAACTATGTAGACGATTTGGGAAGGAGATTTGAAATCAATCAGTGTAATGATGGGGAAAGGTGGATTTGATTTCAAGCTATGTGTGCAATATATAAAGTTGGGTGTAAAATGCATCACAGCACAAGCTATGGACAAAGTTGGATTTCAGTTTAATCAGTGCAGTAGATGAAGAAAGTTGAGATCAACCAGTGTGAGAATGGGGACAAAATGGAGTCGGAAACAATCAGTATAACCAATGGGAGGAGTTTGATTTTAGCTCAAATGATACAGACATTGGGGAACAAGTTCCAAATTCAATTATTAAACACTAAGGAGAAGTGAAATTCGGGATCAAAAGTATAGGTTATGTTTAAAGGTGGATCAATCTATATAGGTGATGAAGAAAGTTCAGATTTTATGTTAATCAGTGTGAAAATGGGGAAGAGTGGGTGCGAGATCAGTCAGTACAGGTGATAGGGCTGGGGTTTTGGATCAGAAGTATAGTTAATACTGAAATTGGGATTCACCACAATGACAAAAGACATAGGATAAAAGTGGGTTCAAGATCCATCAGAATAGTTAGTTGGCAAATATTCTTTGTAGCCCAAACACTGTAAACAACAGAAAAGATAGACATGAATTAATTATTTCAGGTCATGTGGATAGGTGAGATTGAGATTAATCAAGACAATCAATGGGGTTTGAAATCAAACCATTCCCATGATAGGGAAAGTTGATTCAAATTGCCTCTGTTGTTTCTACAACTTATGTAATTGTATATTGGATGCTGCATACTTTCCATTCCTATGCTGTGCCCTTCCATTTATATTTCCAAGCCTTTTTCATTGACTAATCCTCCTGGAGGCTTCAGTCTAGCAAATTGATTAAGTTTAAGCTTTTATATTTTTCCCATCGCTGACCCAGGAATGGTGATTTTGGTGATTCTTGGAAGACTGTAGCCTTAGACCATAAGAAATAGGAATAGGAGCAGGCCATTTAGCTCCTTGAGGCTTTTCCGCCATTCAATGCAATCATGGCTGATCCAACATTCCTCATGTCCATTTTCTTCCTTTCCCCTGGAACTCTTGATTCTCCTACCGATCAAGCATCAATCTATTTCAGCCTTACATATACACGAGAACTCTGCTAAGGAGACTGTTGCAAGAAGTTCCAAAGACCCAAATCTTTCTGAGAAGAAACTCCTCCTCAGCTCAGTCTTAAATTGGTGCCCCTTTATTCTGAGACTATGCCCTCTGGCACTTGACTTTCCCATGAGGAGAAACATCCTCTGAGCATTTACCCTGATAAGGCCCTTAAGAATCCCATAAGTTTCAAGGCGATCAAATCTCCTCCTCCTAAACTCCAACGAGTTTAGCCTTTGCTTATAAGACAATCCCTCCTTACTGGGGGGGTCATCCTAGTGAACTTTCTCTGAACTGCCTCCAATGAAGTAAATAAGGGGACCAAAACCGCTCACAGTCCTCCAGGTGTCGTCTCACCAGCACTTTGTACAGTTGCAGTAAGACTTCCTTACTGTTATACTCTAACCTCATTGAAAATTAGGGCCAACATTCCATTAACCTTCCTGATTACCTGCTGCACCCTGAGGGCTAGCTTCCTGTGTTTCATACACAAGTCCCCCCAAGTAGCTTTCTATTGCAGCTTTCTGGAAGTTTTCTCCATTTAACTAATACAGATGTGATACACATTGCGGATCAATGTCGTGTTTGGCATGTAGATTTTGCCAATATCCCAATGCCCTTCGGGCTAACAGCATGTGTAATGAGAATGAAATTCAGTCAAAATTCCTTGCATTTAATAAAACTTCCATGTTGATCATGCAAATAACTTCAGTTAACAGCTGACGCGCTCGATCCACTGAAGGTGGAAACAGATTTAGTTGGATCATTTTGTGAAAGCTGTGATTTATGAAGACTGAACGGGAAAATAAACTATTTAATCCAGTTTGTCGATGCGTTTGTGTTACAGTTTCGATAAAAGCGTTAAATGACATGTAAAAATTAAGTAGATAAGACGTTAATCTTACTTTAACTGGAGTATTATTCAACAGTAAATCATTTTGTGGGCCATTAATTACCTCATTACAAGTTCAAGTGCTACTTAACCCTCGTCATGCCGTTTCGACCTGTAGGAAAATTATTTGCAATGTTTTATTGAGTTTGATTTAGTTCAAGCTAGTTTCTGAGTTGGCTTTAGATTTCCCCGAATCGCAAATTTCTGTGATATCCCCTTATGTAAATTTTACAGTATTTATCCTTCCCCTGGTGTTGGTCTGTAAACAGAACGGCAGGTTCGGGAGTTGGAAACAAAAACAGAAATTGTTGCAAAAGCTCAGCAGGTCTGGCAGCATCTGTGGAGAGAAAGCAGAGTTAACGTTTCGGGTCCGGTGACCATCCCTCAGGTTTTTTTTATTCAGGAGTTAGAAGCGGATTGCCCCGGGCCTGTTAGTATTAGAGCTTCCCGTGCAATGCCAGTCTGTCGGCAGAAATGTATATCTAAGGAAAAAATCCCTTGTTCCAGTTCGCCTCAAGCCATTGGATCCTCACTCCGTAAGGTTAGACGGTCCGAACTGTGACTTCGTTTTGTTTCTGAATTTGAAGATCATTTTGTTGAGCAGATGTCCTCTCAGCCTGGAAGTGGTTGTAGCAAATCCTCAGTGTTTTATTTGGCCCTGATGTCCCCGCTGAGTGGAACCGGTGCTCTCTCCAGGAGCAAAATTGTTGGGAGAGAATGGCATTAAAACGCTCCTGGGTTTCCTGGTGCTCGCATTGAAATCTCCGATTCTATTCACTTCATTGTTCCTTTGTTTTCTTCTCCTCCCTCACAAGACAGGGGACCTGTCTGCTGGGAAAGTACTGTTCTGGTTAGATCTGCAGGGATCTTGCATTATGTAGGAGCACGCCACATTGTGCAGGACAGACTGTAGGAATCCCCTTAAAACAGAGCCTGCTTGCCACGGCGTTGGATACTGAATGGTTGCGGTAACATTCGTGGGAAATGTCTCCGTTGGGCGACAAAGCCAGTAATCCGGATCTCAGCAAACACTATAACTGTTGGGAATTTGAGATAAGTGCTGGAGAAACGTAGCAACTCTGCGGAGACACAAACAAATTGAACGCTTTTAAGTTCGCAATGACTGAAGTGTTAACTCCGCTGCTCTCTTCCCCACTCAGCTGCCGAGTTTCTCCAGCACTTTCTGTTCCTAGACCAGAATCACGGCGCGGAATGAGGCCATTCAGCCCGTCCTGACCGCATTACAGACAACGTAGTGACCGGCAAGGGAATGGGGAGAAAGAGGGGTTTGATATGGACCGCGCTGGTGAAAGCAGACCCGGGCAGTAAGAGTCTGCAGAGGACTGCATGAAAGGATCAAAGTTGGGGGCGGGGGGAGCGGAATCAGGATTAAGGGGATCTTAGCTGTAGGGGGGAGGGGGGGGGGGGGGGGGGGGGGTGGGGGGCGGGGGGGGGGGGCGGCACACCACCAAAGAACCAAAGTAAGCAAAAACAGAAAGTGCTGGAGAAACTCAACAGGTCCGGCAACATCTGTGGAGAGAGAGAGAGAAAGAGAACAGAGTTAAGATTTCGAGTCCAGGCGTCCTTCTACAGAACTTCAGCGCTGACTGATCTGTGCAGTTTGTGGAGTCTCAAGGCAGGAAGGGGTAAGAAATGTGCTGGAAAGGTTGGTTGGAGAGGGCGGAGGGTGCTGAACAGCAACAAGCCGGTTTGAGAGAGCACTTAGTGGCTTGGTTGCCCTTGTGCTGGGAGAATTCACACGGACAGCGTTATTGCTAACACAACTCAGTCTAGATTTGAGTTGGGAGGAGGCGGCTGAAGGGTGCAGGAAAAGAAGATGAACTGTTTGCTCAACATTTAGGATAATCCAGAGGCGAGAGGGGTGTCAGTTAAGGAGATGCAGGCGGTTGACGTAAGGAGGAGGTTCCAGCTCCCAGTGATAAATAGTGGGCGGTGGGGCCAGAGGTGGCGAATTTGCAGCCGGCGTTTCAGCAATGAATTCCTCATCGGCCAAGGGTTTCCGCAGGACTGTGTCCGAGCTGGACTCCAAACAGGCTGAGGCGGTGACGGTGAGGCTCCTGTCTTCAATCTGCGTTTTTTTTTGTTCGTACGAATCTAGGGTGCATTCCCTTCTCGTCCTGAGCTGAGCATTGGTCTTCATGCAAAGGCGACAGATATTCTCTGCCAAATCTCGCCACGTCCAGCTCAAACCAAATCAGCCCATTCCCCAGAATTCGGCATCTTACCAACTGCTTCCTAAAATAATAACCAGAATAAGGTCTTGCCCATAAGTATTTTGGAGAGATTCTCCACGTTCAATTTGAATTAAAGGGCATCTGTACAAAGTCTTGTCTTGAGAGGACAGAAGCGCCGTGAAGCAATTCTTGCCGGTTATAATGGGGATGGTACGTTTACAGGATCGAAGCCATCACCCCACAATCGGGGCTGGTGGACCCTTTTAGCTGGAGGCGTTTTTAAAAATGTTTTTTTAAACTTTATGTCACACGATTTACAACAGCAGCGCTCGCCACAAGACGCGAGAGCAACTCAAAGAGGCAAACATTTCCTCAGAGGCGTTAGTTACTGTGTCTGCTATGCCTCTTAGATGGGTCCTGACTATAATAGAGACACTGTATTATAGAGTGTCTATAGGCTGTCTATCCTGGACTGCCACACAGGGGGAAGTAATATTTGAAAAGAAATCGGCCATAGATCGGGATAACTAAATCTAACTCATTCAAAGTCATCGACCCAAAACGTAAAGGTTGACACACACACTCTCTCTCTTTACAGATGCAGCCTGATCCGTTGAGTACTTTCTCTATTTTTTCCAAATACTCGTTTGGTGGTGCAGAATTTCAGTCTTAACAACGAAAAAAGATACCGTCTTGCTCTCTGCAGGACCTACCACCGTGACTTTCTATTTACTTTGCGAACTGTCCTGATAACTGAAAGATAAAAAAAGGTGTTTTTTTTTTCAGTGATAACACAGTGTGGAGCTGGAGGAGCACAGAAGTTTCTGAAGAAGGGTCCCGACCCGAAACCTCAACTCTCCTGCTCCTCTGATGCTGCCTGGCCTGCTGTGTTCATCCAGCTCCACATTGTGTTATCTCAGACTCCAACATCGGCAGTTCCTACTGTCTCTTTTTTCAGCGAAACTCATTTTTCTGCTTTATTAGGTGGTTGAGAATCATAATGTCTCTCTGTCTCGCTGTAATATGCTGAGCTGACGTTGACAGTTAGAACTTATAGAATCTAACTTTAAAGAAAAAAAAGGAGTGCTTGTTTTTAAGTTGGAAATATTTGGGGGCATTTATGTTTATGTTGGCGGCGGAACGCAACGACTAGCCCGTGATGTGGGCGGGTATTCGAATTACTTGGTTTTGCTTCTTCATAAGAAATTAAAATGGTCGGTTTTTTCCTTTGTGTGATCTAGGGCGTATCTGTGTTTCTCCCTTCCTCCGACCCACCACTATAAAATCTAGAGTGACAGGGTTGGAGAAGTTGCGCCTGAATGTTAGGACTCAGGCTGCCTGGTGACAAGAAGTTCCCTTGGCATAGATGATGGGATTCTAAAACAATTAGATGCGTGGGAAGCCTTTTCGTTTAAAAACAAACATTTTGCAAGAGCCAGAAAGAAAACAAAAATAACAAAACTTATAGATTTTTGTTTAAATGGATTCCTAAACAGCATCAACTCTCTGGCAGTTGTTCTGTGCTGTTGTGTCTAGTTTCCCCACAGGTCTAGGCAATGTATCAGACAGGACCAACTGTGATGTGGAGTTGGTCTGGGTTTAACATCAGAGGTGTGCCTGCAGCTACTAAATGATATTCCTACATCAAATGCTCCAGGAGCAGAATGTAACACCACTGTAAAATCTTATTGGATTTGAATAGAAATGATTCCATGATTTATTTCAGTTACAAATGTAAAAAAAAAACAAACTTTACCCACGTCGTTCATCTCTGTCGATAAATCACCCCAGTGATCACTGTGATAACACA